ATTTCAGTCTTCCATTTAAGATGATAGACATTTTTTCAGTAGATTATATGAGCAAAATGTGTATCAATGTCAGTCGATCACTAAGCCTGCATACCATTTTCTTTTAAATTGAAATTTAATACTCTTTATTAAATCATGTTCACAGTTTTAGAATGAAACTCTGAAGAGAGATTGATCAAATGTTTATCAATGTAGTTCATCGGTATAAACCTGAGGACTTATAGATAAAGAGCCTCGAAAGTGCAATTAGAATATTTGCCTACCACAATTTAAATGTAAATTGTTATTATCGGGGGGAAATATCATAGATGAATACCTCTCGCCACTTCTCACGATTTCAACTTTAACAAGTTACAAAATATTCGGAAATACAATAAATGATTAAATCGATATTTTGTTCTTGATTATAGTTACAAATGTGTATTATATTTACCTACAGATATAAAGAAGAGGTGTTTGACACTGCAATGACAACGGGCGGAATAAATTTTTACCAACGCTTTATTCTCAGGTTATAAAAATAGTGTGCCTTACGTCATACCATATAATGAAATGTTAATTACTCGGTCAGCCAGTTGAACTTTAATTTGTAAATAAAATTACTTCTTCCACGCGAAGCAAAACATTGTTATATTTATACATAGTGCCTCGAAAATAGTCCCTAACCTGTTAAATCCGTTGCATGTAGGTGTATGCCTCGCTCTGTGCACGTTGAAGAATCATTTGAAGAGCCTTGCTTGACCTATTGCAAGGTACAATTTCTGCACCTAGCCAACATACTCTCAATATCCAGTGTTACAAATTCCCTAGCCCTCAACCAGAACGACCTTCCTACAAAAACCTACCTATTGAAGTATTAGAAGTAATTGTTATTTTGTTTTAGTCCTGAATATGCATGGGATATTTGGCCACTGAAGGTTTAGCAAGCAACAATCAAAAAATGAGCACAAAACAAAAAGTTTGGGAAAACGACTTTTTAATACGTCTTGGAGTACTAATATCATAAGGTTCATGTAGGGACTAATTAGAAAAGCGAAAATTTTCTGAAGTCAATTATTTGGGGCCGAGAGAGTTTTAACTTTTATTTTAGCATAATCACCTAGTGTTATAAAGCAACTATACATTTACCAGAGAACTCCACCGTTTTATTCATACCAGAGCCAGGCAATGCCTACTGGGAAGATGGTATTGACTGACAGATTACCTACATAATACCGACGTATCAACCTTCACCAATATGAATCTCAAAATTAATTCCATTGCTAAAGTTTTATATTTCTAATAGATCTAGTTAATGTTAAAAGATATCATTATTATGTGTGGATTAATATAAACATTAAACATATTTTCACTATCTTCACAATATGAAATTAACAGTTTACAATAAACTCATCATAGATACCAGAATTGAAATTTTGTATTTGCGCCAGACGCGCGTTTCGTCTACAAAAGACTCATCAGTGACGCTCGAATAAAAAAAAATTTAAAAAGGCCAAATAAAGTACGAAGTTGAAGAGCATTGAGGACCAAAAATTCCTAAAAGTTTTTCCAAATACAGCTAAGGTAATCAATTCCTGAGGTAGAAAAGCCTTAGTATTTCAAAAACTAAAGTTTTGTAAACAGTTAATTTATAATTATGACCATATCAATGATAATTCATGTCAAAACAGAAGTGCTGACTACTGGGCTGGTGATACCGTTGGGGAGATAAATGTGGCATCGACCCAGTGGTTGTAAATAAACTCATCATAGTCTATAGATACCAGGATTGAAATTTTGTATTTGCGCCAGACGCGCGTTTCGTCGACAAAAGACTCATCAGTGACGCTCGAATAAAAATACGTTAAAAAGGCATATTATTTTAATGTAAACGTTATAATACTATTTTCCATTCAGGGATTCTTTGAGAACGATTTTCCGTTACTGCATTCTTTTCATTTAATACCTTCAATAATAGAGTAAACGGTTTCCCGTTTCTGATAATTGACATCATGAAGAATGTAAGCATTTACCATGTAATTTAATAAGAAATAAAACTGAATGAAATGACATATTTGGGAATTCATACTTGAAAATTTTTTTGATCATGACTTGTACTATTATGCATGTCACGATTTACACCCGTAAATGATATTGCAAGTATATGTTTATTACTTACTGATACGCACTTTTAAGATGAAGTCATCTTTTCGAAAGTTTAAGTAGCCAGTACTTCTGTACTATCATGACAATATAAATGTCGTTTTATTGAAATTTTCTGTTATATTTGTTTGTGTCTATTTTTGGCTTCAGTTTTGGGGGTCATTTTAGGATTGATCACCTCAAAATTTTGCATTAGGTTCTGGATTTTCAAATGTTTTGCCTCGAGCATCATTTAAGAGACATTGATTGTCGGAAAGCGCATCTTATGCAGTTAAATTTTTATCGTGAATGTTATTTCACTTGTTATTTACCCGTTCCCTTTCATTCAGTTGTGATATCATCGAATGCCATTTCCGCAAATATTTACTTGCAATGAACAATACGTCAGGTACCAGTCGTGAAACAAGATCAACTGTCCTTCATGTTGCTCAATCTTACGTTTTCTGAGTGATGTTTTTAAACGTTGTTTGGCTTTTTTGTTTTGGTCATGGTCAATTTTTCGTCGACTCATGTTTGATTGTCCCCTTTGGATTTATGTACTTTTGAATTGAAATTAACATCAAACTTCAAGCTAAAATGCCGAAAACCATATTTGTACTGGGAGAATCATGTATTTGACTAATGATTCCCATATAAAGACATACCACATCTCTTGATTTTATACATATATAATACACAAATACAAATGGTTTTGAGTGCTGCAACAACAAAAAACTATCTTCATAAACTTTGTACTCTCTTTGGCCTTTTAACTTTTTTGATTTGATCGTCACGAAAAGCGAGTCTGGCGTATAAAATTTTAATCCTGGTATCTATGATGAGTTTATTCATGGATAAACATTTTATTTCAGCTAATTTTAATTATAAATTGCAAGAAATAATTAACCCTTCCGCCTAAATCTCCTATTTCATGACATATATTTTGTAGTGAGCTCCCAATTTTGCGGAAAATGATTTTCAAATAAAAAACATCAAATAAGCCATAAACGAAATAAATTAGGATAATAAACGAATGACAATGAATTCAAGTAAATAGACAAAAATAAAGACCAAGTTAGATCTAATTAAAAAAAACTATTTGTATTGGAAACAAGAGTGCACACGCTGAAATGTCTCGCCTTCTATACTGACCATTAATTTTATGTTGATAGTCCTAAATATAAAGTTTTACAAGTATCACATTAACATTTATGATCCAAGAAAATGAGGTCAAGGTCAGATAAACCAAGCCGGAAATACATTAACACCTTTAATACAATCATTCCATACACCGAATAAAGATGACTCATTCATTATAGTATAAGAGAAACAGACCAAACCATGGACATTTTGTATTGACCAATAAACCATAAAAATGAGTTAGATGTTCCCTGCCAGACAGACATGTACACCTTAAAATAATTTCATGCATCAAATATAGTTGACCTAGTGCTTACAATATCTAAGAAAAAAGTTAACCAGGAAAACTGAACATTGACCAATGAACCATGGAAATGAGGTGAAGGTCAGATGATACCTGCCAGAGAGACATAAACACCTTACAATTATTCCATACATCAAATATAGTTGACCTATTGCTTAAAGTTTAAGAAAAACAGACAAAGACACAAATTTTTTTAATTTAGCAAAGAACCATGAAAATGAGGTCAAGGTCAAATAAAACCTGCCAGACTGACAAGTACATCGTAAAATATTTCCATAAACCAAATATAGCTGACCTATTGCATACAGTATTAGAAAAACAGATCAAAAAACAAAAACTTAAGATTGAGCAATGAACCGTGAAAATGAGGTCAAGGTCAAATAAAACCTGCCAGACTGACATGTACACCGTAAAATACTTCCATACACCAACTATAGTTGACCTTATGCATACAGTATATTACAGTATAACAGACCAAAACACAAAAACTTTACTTTTACCACTGAACCATGAAATGAGGTCAAGGTTTGACTCAGATGACACCTGCCAGTTGGCATGTACACCTTACAATCATTATATTCACCAAATATCGTAGACCTATTGCGTATAGTATCTCAGATATGGACTTGACCACGAAAACTTAACCTTGTTCACTGATCCATGAAATGATCTCGAGGTCAAGTGAAAACTGTCTGACAGGCATGAGGACCTTGCAAGGTACGCACATACCAAATAAACTTATCCTTTTACTCTTAATAAGAGAGAAATTAACATTACAAAAAATCTTAACTTTTTGAGGTCTGGGACCATGGACATATGACAGACGGAAACTTCATATCATAAGGCATCTATATACAAAGTATGAAGCATCTAGGTCTTCTACCTTCTGAAATATCAAGATTTTAAGAAGTTAGTTAACGCCGCCGCCGCCGGATCACTATCCCTATGTCGAGCTTTGACAAAAAAATTAAAAGTGATAATTCAATCACGTCATGATAAAAATAGCAAAACGAGAAATACAAATGTATTATAATAATATGGGGAACTACACATTATGGCATAACAATTTTCCAAGCGATAAAAAACAAACAGACTTCTAATGATCTACTTTAGTTACTTTACATTATGTTGCCTCAAACGGTGGGATACTCATTAAATATGAAAATCTATAAATCATCACTTGTTGCAACCTCGGCCGATTCCGTACCTCCGCGGATCCAGAGAGAACCTGTTTTATCCGCAGTTTTCTGATTTACTCATTACAACAAAAGTAAACAGATGGAAATCCAACTACGATATGCATGATTAACTCAACTTGTCAAGGACATACGGGACATGAAATAGAGAAATAATTGTAACTCTGAAACCAGTGTTCAAGATAATATGTGTCTGAGAAATCCGTAAGAATTCTTTCGATTCATTAAAACATTTGACATTGGCAAAATCCCTAAATTATCATTGTGTTATAATCTGGATAAAAGATAGTAAAATTGTGCATTAACTACCTCAAAAAATGAAAAATATTACGTTTCTTTCGTTAAATTTCCCAAAGAACTAACCTTCATTTACCCTTTAAGTAGTGATATGTGATGAACCATTTGGAAGTACACAACAAGGAAATGTACCTGTTTGAATAAAAGGAGTTGTTGGGTTTACGTCAATAAGATATAATACAGTTTTCAACAATAGACAGGTTAATAAAACATCATTCAAGCCGTAAATCGTCACAAATCCATATAAAAATTGCGAATGAATTTAACAGAAAAAATCAAAGATTTGTCATTTAAATCCCATTTTTAAAAGAATGCGACCATTAAAGAGGAAGCCCTGAAATTCAAAACAGTTAATAATCTAAACGTTAGCAACCTTTTACTAATTTTAAAGGCGTATCTTTTCTTTCCTATGCACAAGAAAACATTCACAGGAGCTGTGGATTTACAAAGTTCTCGAAAATTTATTTCTCCAAAATGTTCATGTAGATTGATGACGTCATGTTAAAACAGTTATTGATCAATCAAATTGCGTATGTTACTTAATACATTGCACAACTCGGTCCAGTTGACCCGAACTCGTGAACTCGTGCGGGTCAAGTAGGGTTATATAAGGTGTGCAGTATATATAACTAACATAATACCAACTTGATTGTTCAACAACTATTACTTAATTTTCTTACTTGTAAACATTTTGTTTCATTACATTTTTTTAGCAACAACATAGGATATTCATTTTCAAGTTCGTCCGCTAACGAAAGCATATTATCTTTTTCAAGAGCAGAAGAAATGTCGTCTAGGAAGGCATTATCACCAGCACGCTTGAACCATTTTAAAAGACACTGGTAGATTTGCTCTTTGACGTTGTTAGGATAATCATGGCAAATTTCCTCAATATTACGCTCTGCAACCTGGATTTTGTCATATTTGGCTACAAGGGAAAATATCTATTATTGTTAACGCGAGGTCTCTTAAATGAAATTATACAACAAACAAGACTTAAAAATATAGTATATGAAAATAATAAACACAATAAACCAAGTAAGATATTATGTTTGAATGACATTTTTATAAAAAAAAAAAGTTGCAGTATTTTTTAAGGTACAATTTATTAGCTGTTGGCACCTGTCATTTGTAAGTCACGGCACATCAACTTAAAAAAAATTACTTCCCCTTGAAATTTAACATAGAATAAATACTCAAGTTATACGACAAGTTATCATAGTGATGCATGCATAGCTTGAGACGCTTAACCTGTGAATGCACCCGGTATCGATCCTTTGAGAATTTATGAAATTCTGTCAGTTTTTATACGTCCTTTTACGGGACGTATTATGGCATACCGTTGTCAGTCCGTCCTTCCGTCGGACAATAATTGTATATATATATATAATATTAATTATATGGCCTTCCAAATACCGTTTCGATTCCTAACATCACTGAAGAGACATTAATTGTCGAAATCCGGATATGGTGTACAAATTTTTTTTGCACCTTATAATTGCGGTATACCATCTTTTCCGCAAGTTTATTGTTTTCTGTTTAATTAATTAATTATTTATAAGATCCATTTTGTTACATCTTGTGATTCGTTTATTTGGCAATCGCCAATGGCAGTCAGCAGGGTTTAAGAACATCAGTTGTTCGACCTGCTAGTCAAATGCATTTTGTTAAAATATACTTTTTCACTTTTTTGGTCTTTTGGAAAATGTTGTTTGTGCTGTATTTAGACCCCTCTACCAAGAAATTTGTTTTGCATGCACACGTATTAAAATTGCGGTTTTTATCCAACGCATTCATAGGTTTGAACGTTGTTTTCAATTTAGACTTTCTAATATATATATATATATATATATTGACATAAGTTCCCTTTCGATTTACGTTTTGGAGTATTGGGGCTTTAATCATAAAAAAGGGGGATTTTTACGACATTACTTCAAAAACGCGCAAAAAGGTTGACGGGCGTATTATGCGCTCATGGCGCAGCTCTTTATTATTTGTTACCTTGATTTATCTTCTTAATCGATATATGAGATTTGAACATGGTTTAACTACTGTCGGATATATTCATCCTATTGTACATGTTGTATTGTATTTTTGTATCATATTGTTATCTTTTATCGAATTGTATTGTATATTAAAAAATAAAATTTAAAAATCTTACAAAATAAAGTTCTCATTACTGATTTCCATTCAACAAGGTTAATTCCAGTGGAAATACGTCGAAACACAGGAGACCACATTTTATCAGTTTCTGTAGAAGAACATGCCTGATCACTTATGTAAGCGTCTCTGGATGAGGGCAAATTAGAACGTACTTCGTCTATTTGTTGATTATTATCTGAAATTATAATTATAGTAAGAATGATAATCATGATAATAACAATGAAAGAAGTACACATGTAGTTATTGTAAAGTGGGTGAATAGTTTTTAACCGGGAACTTGTTGATTGCTGTTTAGCCCTTAAGTTAGTGAAACACAATCAGCAAAGCAAGCAGAACTCGTATATTTTTTAATATTTTAGTAAATTCTATTTTCCTTTCTGTAGGCAAACATTTTTTTTTAGCAAATAAAATATTTCATTTACTAGTATATGATTGTATAAAATTCACAATAAAGCTTATAAAAATGGTGGTCAGGGGTTTCTTTCATGAGCAGCACTTCTAAATGTTAACGTAAAAAGCAAAAGATGTTGTGCAATTCCCGATGCCATAATTCACTCACATGCTCAAACAAATGATACAGAACTATTTTTTGTATTTTGTAAAAAAGGTTTATTGTGTGGTCATTGAATAAAAAACAATTATAGTGTGTATCAATGCTTTTTTATAACGAAATCCTTACTATAAATTATTGTACGAGTTATAATTGAATTTTAGTCAAATTTTGTACAAATTGTAATTTGTACAAGCACTTTTAGTACAAAATACAATTTGTACACTGTCAAAATAATAATTCTGATAGTACAATAGAAATTGGCTCCAGTGACAATTCTGATAGAATAATAAAAAAATGACCCCAGTGACAATTCTGAAAGTATTATAGAAATTGGCTCCAGTGACAATTTTGATAGTATAATAGAAATTTGCCCGAGTGATGACACTGACGTTGACACACCAATCATATGTGTCAGGAAGCGTGCGCTATCTGGCCAACTGATCCAAGCGAATATCTAACCAAGAAAACGAAACGGAAATTATCAGAACTTGCTGTGGTGGATAATGTCATTATTCTAATTCCTCAGTATGATCGTGCCCCAACTGACCCTCGAAATATCTTAGGTGTAATTACTGAAAACGGAGAATTTGGGTACCGCATTGGAACAGCTGTAGGAATTTTAACAGAAAATTTGTTGAGAAATAAAATTGAAGCTGTTAAAGACACATCTTTATTCGCAGTAACGGTTCCTGAGCTTCAACTTTCGCTACGTGAAGCAGTTAAAAAGCTTTAAAAAAGTGGTGGTCAGGGGTTTCTTTCATGTAAATGCAAATGGGAGTGCAGCACTTCTAAATGTTAATGCAAAAAGCAAAAGATGTTGTACAATTCCCGATGCCATAATTCATGCACTCACATGCTCAAACAAATGATACAGAACTATTTTTTGTATTTTGTAAAAGAGGTTTATTGTGTGGTCATTGAATAAAAAAAATTATAGTGTGTATCAATGCTTTTTTTATAATAAAATCCATACTATAAATTAGTGTACAAGTTATAAGTGAATTTTAGTCAAATTTTGTACAAATTGTAATTTGTACAAGCACTTTACAAATTATAATTTGTACATTTTGTTTGTACAAATTATATGTACACAATGATAACTTGTACACAACATTTACATCTTTGACATTTGACCTTCGGTTCTGAGTGTTCTTTGTGAATACGCATCAACAACAAAGTTGACAAAAATAAACGTATTCTTTTGCTGCTAGTAGCGGATTATTTGTTTGATATTTACTTGATTTATTTTTTATATTTGTTCATTATCTTTCAAGGTGATTATGTTTATTCAACTTACTGTTATTTCGGCTTTGTGATATGGCTAAATCATTCATTTCAGTCTGGCCTTCATCATTAAACCTACAACTAAAAATGCAAATATGACCCTTTTGACTCTCTTCATTTGAGCAAATGATACAACAAGATAAATTCGATAGATGTTTTGCATTTATTTGATTTATTTAAAGTTATCTTGTCCCAAGTTAATGAAAATAACTCAATTTTGGTAGTAAATATAGGACATCAAATGAATTACAGTTATTTTTATATAGAAATAAGGAGATGTGGTATGATTGCTATCTATTAGAGTTCAAATGAAGTTGATATAGACTTTCAAAGCAATCAATACGAGATTTTTCGTAAAGCAGCAGACCAATGTTTTTTAAATGAAGCGATAATTTATTTAGAATAACACAGTTTCTATAAATTGTAAATTTAAGCCATTTAAGTGGCAAATTAAATTATAGCAAAACAAAACATATTATTCCATACAAACTTACCACATTGCCTTCAATTTAGTTAGATATCCGTATCGGTGCAGCAGAACAAAAACAAGGACAATAAGACCAATAATAAAAGCTACTATAATTATTGGCACATAAATTTTCCAAGACTGTGATTGTTCTGAAAAAAATAATATAGATGGAGTTCAACGATTTACGCAACTGTTGCATGGAGGTTTGAATTTATTTGTGTATGAATATTATCAATATATGGCAATTATAACAATTAATACATTACTAGCAATGCTTCTTTTGTCCATTCGTTGAATAGTAAATTGACATGACACTTCCAGAGCACCTCGTATAGTTAACGATTAATTTGTGTTGCTCAATCTTTAGTTTTCTATATAGTGTTATGTGGTTTAATATTTGTTTTTTCGTCTTAGCTAATGTGTCATTTGTCATTTTTCAGTCTTTGATTTTTGTTTGAACTCTTGGAACACATATTCATCAAAATTAAATTTCATAAACTTTTCCAGGTTATGAATATTCAGTAATTACCTATTGTTCCACAGACAGTGTCTCTTGTTCCGTCACAACTTTGAAGTGTTGTTTGATCTGAAGTGCATCTGGAGCACGATAAACATTTATCTTCTAATGAGGTTGTCGTTGAATATGTCCCAGACCTGCATGGTAAACACTGTGTATCACTGATGGCTGTGCCTGAAGAAAAAAAAGGCATTAATTTGGCTCGTTTAATTTTCATAAAATTTTGACAAAATGTTTACTTTGACCCTTTGACAAAAATATAAAAATTTCAAATAATTTGAACCAACCACTCTATCAGAAAAATTTCATTGGTTATATAGCAGGTTGACAAACACTCATTTTGATCATTGAGAAGCTTAATATTTCCTTAACAATATAACGTGATTAAAACGTTAAGTTGATTTTTACAGAGTTATCTCCCTGTAGTGTTAGGTACCACCTTAAGTTCTACAATGAAATGCATGCATGAAATGTCTTATCATGTTTATAGTGTCGCTGATGATTGATGTATGCTCCACATCTCTTTTGGTTTTATATATAAGAAAAAGAGATGGGATATGATTGCCAATGAGACAACTATCCACATAAGGACGCGGATGCATACAATAATATTTAGAATTTATTTGTCATTCATAATAAAAGGCAATGTACATGTAAACTTATATTTTAGAATTACTATATATATCGCAGTTAAGAAATTTAGGAAACTATTGAAATGTCATTGTCTGCTTCATACAAGTAATATCACTCGCGGTCTTGATGAGAGTTTGTCAGCTTTAAATAATGCATTTCCCATACATCTTTGTAGGTTTGTCTGTGCATTTGTTTTGTTGACTGATTTATTTTGCGTTGTGCATTATGTTACTTTATCACTGAAATTTGAAACATTTCAAAAAGTTTATTATGTATTTCCACCAAAGATGTCCATCAATGGAAATTTCAAAAATGTTGAAATGTTACCACTGTTTTGATATAATGAATTTATAAAGACCTTATTTGAAATTACTGCAACAAAAACTTAAATGTTTGTTTGATTATGAACAATAAACTTAAAACCTCTCTCTCACATTAAACTTAAAACCTCTCTCTCACATTAAACATATAATACTGATGTACGTTTACGTGAATGCAACTAAATTCATTTCTTTATTACCTTGAAGATATAACTCCTCTCCAGGCGGACAATCACTAAAAGGGACACAAATCCACTCTCCACTCCCTTTGGAGTGATTGTAGAAACCATCTTTACAACGACATGTTATATCGGCAGTAGAATTACACTGATTTTCAACGATGGCGTTTTGATCCACGCAGTAAGTTCTACAGGCCTCACATCGCATGGCTATATTGTAATTACCGTTGTATTCTCCCTTTGAGCATTGCTCACATGAAGCTGTTGTTTTGTCCACTGTACAATCTGACCGTTTATAAAATCCAGGTCTACACACATAACATGTTAGTCCATTTGAAGCAGGGTAGGTAGAATGGGGTCCGAAATTTGTACCGTGAGGAGACCTTTTATCTCTAGCTGCAGTGTTCCTTTCTATATATGCTTTGGTTAAAATGGTATGTGATATTTCAGCATGTGGAAGACAGTTTATCATTCGTCCAGCCAGACAAAAAAGTAACGGTAGTATGTAAAGAATTTCCATTTCCTGGTGATTTTACTGAAATGAAACGATATAAAAATTGACCATAAAAGATTGATTGATTGATTGATTGATTGGTGTTTACAGCTAATTTCAGCACAATTGCGCTATTTCGTGGCGGCAAGTTTTTATTTGTGGAGGTAGCCGGAGTGCCCGGAGAGAACCACAAACCCTCGGTAGGAAAACTGACAATCTTAGTCAATTAAGATTGGAGTCGAACGCACCTGCCACGTGCTGGATTCGATCTTACATCCTCAGTGTTGACAGGCTAATGATAAAGTAGTTGAATGACTTAGACCTCTCGGTCATCGAGGGCCCGACCCACAAAAACTTATCCGTAACTCAGCGTACTGCAGGCAACAATCATCTGAACAATTATCAAACTTATTTTTCTTGTATTCTGACTCACATTATCAAAACTTTTAATTATTATGAATCATTTGTATTTGAAGCTTGACAATGTACTGGATTTAAAGATGTATTCATATGAAAGGGTCAATCATAGTTTTACGTAAGAGTTTCAATACGCGGAAAAAGAATAAGCGATATTGAACCTTAAATAAGAAACATGTTCGAAACTGCCAATTGACTGCTTATTTGAGTTAATGCCCTTTAACAACTTTTATCTTTATTCATTATTTGCATGTTAGTTTCAAAGATTTTAACCTCTCAAACTGCTGTCACAATATAAACCAAACTTGAAATAAATGATCCTCAGAGTGTTTTTATTTTCGTTTAATCAAGAATGAAATGCTTTTATAGAGGTGCAAAAGCGTTGAACGGGGCATATTTTGTATGAAGCGCAGATCTTCATACTAAAACTATGCGCATATCAACGTTTTAATACTCCTATAATATAACGAAAAAAAAAAAAGAAACATCCAATTCTAAACAACCATGAAATTGCGAGATACATAAAATGTTTCGCTTGTTTTCCTATACATTGTTGTGACGTTTTCATAGGAGGCGAGTGTTGTCTAGAATGTTGCATTTTATTGGAAAATAAAATCTAATTGTTTTCGGCCAATAAAAATGACGGATTCTTGTGAAACATACATATAATTTATTGTATCGTGCGCGCATGGCCCACGCTTTTACACTCCAATAAAATAATTAAAAGAAGCATTTAATTCTTAAATGAAAATAACACCTTCTAAATTGCGTTCCTTCAAAGCGTTTGTCTGGATTTACCTTCAGTTTGAGCGTGTAAGCTGTTAACAATCGACAAAGTCCCAAGAGACATTATAGTAGTATGTGATCAAACAAAGCAGTATTGTGTTTTATACCCTATATCCTATTTTATCACCGTACGGAACACATATAACTCATTTACCGAGAGACGAATATTTCTCAATACATAATTCAGATTGCTACGAAAGGCACCCATACCAACTCTCCATATATTTTAGTGTCGGTAGAAATTTGTTCTCATTTGTTACCGATATAACCCCGTTTTTGATTTATTTTCATTAGCTATTCATTTCGTATCATCCAATGCATTTGATGGTTTTTTGTACTAAATCAATCGTATTTTAGGATTTAAACATTGATTAATTGTTTTCATGTGGGTAAATGTTTTTTAAACTCAACCATATTGTACAACATTAAGACTAAGTTTTCCAATTTGTAAGCTATCTTTGAACATTTAAATCCGTCACGCCTTCATTTGAGACTATAAATACATTTTAACTTGTAAACTAGTTAATATGCACCATTTAATATTTCGCCCTGTTTTTCATAATTAACTCCGGGGGGAATATTATTAGGTAAATATAAGAAGACCAAATCAGAGCCTTTCACTTTTAAATAATATTTGTGAACAGCATTATTTGCTAAAATCACTTACAATTATAATTGTCAACTAAAAAAGTAATACCAATGTATTTACCCGTCACTGAATGTAGATATATGTATTTTTCTATCTACGTGTGGGGAAAGTTTAACAATATTACGAATATACTAGATAGAGGCTAAAGTTTTACTCATTCGTATGCGTAAATAAGTAAATAGCACAACTGAAAGGCGTTTTAGCTTGATCGTTTTTGAATATCTAATCCGCTGTTTGTAATCATAAGAATAAGACGATACGGTATTATGTATGCATTCTGAGATTGCCAATGTGATAACAATTCGCCAAAGACCACAGGACACGAATATTAAACAACTAACAGCCGACTATACAGTCTAAGTTACTAAAAAGTTAGATCAAGGCCGAATTTCAACTATCCTGCTTCACAAAACAGAAAATATGTTATGAGGAATAAGAATTGTGAAGCGAGGAAGCTAAAGTTTTACCTCTTCAAAAGAAAGGGGAAAGATATAGGGGAGGAAAAGATAGACATATAATTATGGGACACAAAAGAAAAATGGACGAAAAACAAACTATCACACTTGATTGAATATATATCACCAACCCAAACGAAAACAAACCTATTTTGAACCCAGAGCGCTGCGTAAGGGTTCATGTTGGTTAATAAATGATTTATATGTATTGATGTGTGGAATTTTGTTAGTATTTTCATCTCATCTCTTTATGACGCATGTTACTGATTGTCCCTTGTTATCTTCATCCTTTTTCTGTAGCAAAATGTGTTAAATCTAAGATCCGAAGTAGAAATTATCCAAAATTGAATGAGGTACCCTCTACTGTGTTTCTGTTCGACAGTGTATTAAAGGATGGGGATCAGTAAGACTAGGGGACTGGTTTGTCTGTTGCATCATTAGTTCGTTATGATTGCAAAAAGAGACAACTAATTACCAAAGTCCAAACGACGTGAATGTAAGCAACTAAAATAGTTCCTCGTCCTTGTGTTGAATTTCTTTTTTACGTGCAGTTGTTCGACATTAAGGTGGTACCTAACACCACAGGGAGATAACTCTGTAAAAATCAGCTAAACGTTTTAATTACGTTGTATTGTTAAGGAAATATTAAGCTTCTCAATGATCAAAATTGGTGTTTGTCAAACTGCTATATAACCAATGAAATTTTTCTGATAAAGTGGTTGGTTCAAATTTTTTGAAATTTTTATATTTTTGTCAAAGGGTCAAAGTAAACATTTGGTCAAAATTTAATGAAAATTAAACGAGCCAAATTAATATTAGTCAAGGTGTTGGGTACCACCTCAAACAGACAGGAATTTATCTGTTCTGTTTGTCTGTTAACTGGCTTTCCTTTTTTTTTTATCTGGATCATTAAGTTGATTATATCATCAAAGTATCATATATATATATATTACTTCTAATGATTATCTGTATTTTTGAAAGTTGTCTTTAATGTAGACAAAATCCCCATTTTCTTTGAAAACGTAAGCTTACCTTCAAGTTGGTTTAAATTGGAATTCCACGAACTAGATTTTAAAATTCTGGGTACGGACTTCGGGTATTGAAGGGGTCGTATAATTATAGAACTGTATTTCCATATACCTATATTTAAACCTTAATATATCTTGATCTATTTATTAATGTTTTGACTCATAAAGGTGAGCTTTTAGAACGTAACTGAAAAAAGTTCCCCTTTCAAAAATTATAGGAGAAAACAAATAGCGGGGCTCAAATATTGAAAAAAATCATATTTAAATGAGTTTTAAATATTAGTAAAGTAAAATTAATAGTAACACTTACAGATTACTTACAAAGAAATTTCAGCAGACAATGTTGATTGTTCACGATAACATGTTAATGATAATTATGTAGATAAAAAGCTTAAAAAAATATTTTCAAGTTCATCTTTATAGTTCTTGTAAATATTTATTATCATAACTACAGTGTATGGTCAGTGCAGTAGCTGGGCTTAAATGGGAGTGGGTGTTCCCTATGAATTAAAATCAGGGGATGATAAAGTTTGTATGAACTAATTTGACATGATGCGGGATGCACGAACATACAGTGTGCTTGAATAGATTATAAAAAAATCTTCATTATCTAGAGTTTACAAAATGTTTTTATAGACTTACCTACAACTATATGGCTTATGCTGTATAGATGTCCTCGTATGGAAGATATTTTAGGATTTGCTTGCAATATTGCCAAAAAAGATCATAGCAAATTTCGATGATTGCGTCATACTGTCATATGATAATTAAATTCCGGACCTTTGATACGTTTTATTACATACATATATATTTATTTCAACAAAATTAAAACGCGAAGTCAGAAAGCATATCAATAGTTTAATAAAGTTGTAATTAGATATATATAAATGTCTTCTTGCGTCACAAGTAATTGTTGGTGTCCTCGGTGCGATTCACGCGTGCAAAAATGTTGATCTATAAGAAAAATGAAAAATCGATTGCATATCTTATCATCAGTTAAGCACGAATATTTACTTGCAGGATACAAAAAATATGATGTAGAATGCATGAAAATTGAAACGTGTTTTCACTCGCCACCAATAAGGAGAAAAGTTCGGTCAGATTTTCTTTGTTCAATTTTCTAATTCTCGCACAAATTGATAGTTTGAATAATATAGTTTGAAAAATTTTCTAAAATTTCACAAATACATGTAAAAGTAAAATGTTCTTCATTTCAAGTTGTTTAGTACAAATCAGATATACTATTAATATTGCAATTCTTGCATGGTTCCAAAATTTTCATTCATAGACCTGTCACCAAAAGAATTTTAATTTTTGTCTGAATGTAGATTCACTGCCGATGAAATTTTGACCTTTAGCTAAAAATGTGCTTTATTCATTTTTGGGATAAAACAGAAACATTTGCCGATATTTTTCAAATAACAGTTTTGAGCCATCAGAAATGAATAATTTTCTTAAAGTATGTTCATAACACTAACTGTGTGTACTCTTAAAATGGTACCTTGTGATTTTATCTGTTTGTTGTGGGTTTATTTTTTGGTGCTCAGTGCCAATCTGATGATTCCAGCCTTTTTCAAATGATTTTTATGCCCCACCTAGGGGCATTATGTTTCTTGGTCTGTGCGTCCGTTCGTTCGTCGGTCTGTCCCGCTTTAGGTTAAAAATTTTGGTCATGGTAGTTTTTGATGAAGTTGAAGTCCAATCAAC